TGAAGCACTTTGGGCCTGCTGCTCAGTGCTCAGCAAAACAAATCTCACCAAAAATGGCGCGCAGAGGCTTCATCAAGTCTAAGTTGATTTGCACAACCTCTGTATTGAATGCAGCTTTGCCTGCAATTCACCAGCGGACACTTGGACTGGCCTCAACTTCCGCAAGCTTTTCTCGCAGTTGAGGTACCTGGTGATGCAAGTGGTGGAGAATCCAATGTAAGCTCAGCTTTTGGTATTGTAGACACCCTGTCGAAATGCATCTGCTCCGAAACAGAATCCCACCTGTGCCGCTTCTTCTTTCAGCCGCTCAATCTCCAGCCGATATTGCTCAGCAGCAGCACCAGCAGAGGCAGCACTTTGAGCCTTGGATGCTGAATTTCAGCTTTCTGTGCAAAGACCTGTTTAGGAGCAAACGGCCCAAAGCAGCAGGAATAGCACTGTACAAAGAATATGCCCTGGCTGTTTATACCAAGCAAAATGCGAATGCCCTGGCTGAATGCAAACACATCAAACAGTAAGAAGGGTTCAACCGCCTATCTAGGCATGTGGTCCTGCACAAACAGCTTGCATATATCATATGTTTCTGGCGTTTGTTGCTGATGTGGCTAGCCCCGAGAGCCTTTGCATGAGTCATTCAGCACACGTCCATCCTGTGTCATCAAGCAATCCCAGCCTCGAGTTCTGCAAGCTTGTCTTTGAGCTGCTGCACCTACGACGACAGCATGCAAATGTCACATCACTCCCACCACCTGACTCATATCTGTTCCAGTCCCATATAGAAAAAACTGCGACGCATGCTGGGGAAAAGGCCTGCCTGTGCTGCTTCTGCTTTGAGGCCGTCAAGCTCTTGTCGCTGTTGCTCTTCTCCGGCCCTGGCTGAAGCACTTCGGGCCTGCTCAGAAAGGCAACACATAATCAACATTATGTTTATCTGCTTTCAACAGCATCGTATGAATCCAGTTGTTTGACTGCAACTGACCAAGCCTCAGCTTCCGCCAATTTTTCACGTAGTTGAGGCACCTTGTGTCATTGTCAGATTTAAGAATATGGACAAAAACATGCATGTCCAGTTTGCACTTGCTTAGGTGATTGAACACGCCAGGCGGAAACCCGCAGCACAGGCGTTTCACCCGCGTGTCGGATCAGCCCATCCCCTGACCCCGCGGCCTGCGCTGCTTCTTCCGTCAGGCGCTCGATCTCGGCGCTTTGAGCCTCGAACTTGACGAGTCGACCGATGGCACCTTGACCGGTGTTCAATAAAACAAGGGGAAGAAGTGCTGGAGATGATACTTTCTGGCTTTTTCTGGAGATTGTAACCAAATCTGAAAAAGAATCGCCCATCAACCAGACGATAAACACATCTATTCCACGCTTTACCTCATTGCCCAAACTGAACAGGGTCGCAATGGCATATAATGGGTTTGCTGCATCGTAGTGTGTCAAACGATCTGTCTTGGTGTTTGTTCAGGGGATTTTAGCTGCGAATTCGCTGGGCATTCTGGCTTCCCTAATCCAAAATCCCGAGTCCAGTCCCACCAACGTCCAAACCACTTTTGGGTGGGCACGGGTCGAAGGAAACTCGACGGGGCAATCGACATCGACATTGGTCGGTCTTTTCACATTCTTCCGCCCAGAAAAGGTCTTCCCCCATGATGATGGAGAGATGGCGGTCTGTTCCCCAACAAAAGGCCTGCTTCTTCCGCGATGGAGCCCATTCTTTTCCGCTTTTGCGTGAGAAAGGAGAGACTTCGGAACAGGGCGAAACACCGTCCGGACTTCGCCAAAGCAACGCGAATTGCCCCTCACATTGAGCAAGAATCGGTGCTGTGTCATTCCGGAGTGAGCTGGACCGCTCCCATCCACACCCCCCCCAGAAACTGTCCAGGCCCTCTCCTTTTCCACCTGGGACTTGACCGTCTGCAATTCCTCGGAGGCGAAAACGGAGCTCGCCACAAACGAGGGGCCGAGACTGGAAATTGATTGGTTGGCCGGAAGACCCCTCGCGGACCAGGGTCGGGATGGTCACTTCTGGGGTTTGAAGAAAAGCAAGGGGGAGGAGCCTCAATGCACTTTAACACGTCCAGGAAGCCAGACGGATTCTCTTCAATGCTGCCTGAACTGCCTCCAGAAAGAATCAATGCCCGCAGCGACACACTGCTGTTAGATCCAGGAAGCAAGGCAGCTGCACCATTCACTGAGATCCAGCTCAAATTGAACTGAGACATAATGAGAATGCAGTGCGATACAAACCAGACCTCACCCTCACCATGTTCCAGGTCTCCAACTAACACGCAACTCAATCAGGAGCTACAGTACAAATCACTTACCACCCGTCTTCCATGCCCCGACAAATGCCAAAGCCACCCGTTTAAACTGCCAAGCCACGTCCTTCAGCGCCTGGCTGGGGGTGTTCTGCGCTTGTTCCACCACCCAAAAACACAAACGAAAATCAGGAGGGATGGCCAGAACCAAAATATCCTGATATCCTCGTTCGGCCTAGGTGGCGGAACCCACCGACCTCCGCGCGCGGTTGCGCTCCCAGCGCCTGTGCTTGGGCCTTCTCGGCCTCCAACTCCTGTTGCACGGATTGGACCTGGCTCGGAGTCTATCCGCTCTCCTACCCCCGACTGCGATGTGCTGGGACAAAAACCAGACCAAAGTCCCGCAAAGATGGAACATCCGCAGAAAACAAGATACGGAGTACTATTGAGTAGTATTGAGTACTATTGAGCGTCTTTTTGGTTGTGCCACCGTGACCCGAACTAGCTTCTGCGTTTGAACTTGCTGGAATCATTTGGACAAAGGATGCACTTTGCACAAGGGTCTTGAGACTTAGCCACAACTTGGATCCCTCCTTGTTGTTGTCGTTTTGACCATGGACATCTTTCCATCGGCCAAGGATACCGTGCCTTTGCATTGCTTTCGTCCTTGAGCTTCTGAAAGGCTTCCCTGGTGCGTTCCTTGCACGGGCGACCGAACGACCCAACGCTGGCCTGCCTGTCATCACCGGCCCCACTGAACTGCATCGTCCACTGGACGTGCGCGACGTGCAGTGAGTCTTCGCCAGATTTGGGGCATGGCTGAAGATTGTTCCGCAGGATGTTCAGGGCGGAACACTGGAAATGAACGCTTCACCAGCTCAACACTGGAAATGAACACTGCAACACTGCAAAAAAATCGTTCCACCAAATCGGTGCAAATCCACACACGCTTTCCTTGATGTGTTGACGTCATCCAACGTCAGTCAAGACGAACGTCGGAAAGAGAACGCAACGTCTCGGTCCGAGTTGTCCAACCTCAGCAACCGGTCACTGTCTCAGGTGTGTCTCAAGAGAGGGGGACCCTACAGCCATACTCCTGAAAACGCCTACAGAGTTGTACTGGGCCTGGAATGCTCAAACCAAAAAGAACTGCCTTTGCTCCCCAGCAAGTTTTTCTGCCACACAACGAACCAAATATGCCCATCCATCCCAACAAAGTGCTCAAGATTCCCAAGATTCTCACCAACGAGTCTAATTGTTTGCATTGAATTTCATATTGATAATCACGAAGTAATTAGTAATTATCTGAATTGAATAATATGGGTACCTATAATTGTTTTGTATGATCAAACGTTGTCATATTGAAAAATAATATACCATGACTCGAGGCTGTCGCGCCTTCAAACGCTGTTGCTCCACAGCTCGCCTCTCTTTCTCCTCCTGAAGTTGCGCCTCAAAGCACACCAGCGCAAAGCACAGCATGTTTCAACCCGGTGGGGTTCTTCAGCCCAAAAAGCACCCGCTATAACCCGCCAAACCAGGCAGGTTTTATCTGGTCACAGCTAGTGTGCATTCGTTCATCTTCATCTCGTTACCACCTGCCTTGCATCGTGAACATCTTTCAATTGGGCTTCATTGATGTTCTTGCTCCCACAGTAGCTGGTCGGTCCGCCGAACCCAGAACTCCACTCCACTCGGTGTGCCGAACGTGTTTTTCTTTCAAGAACAAACCACGGGAAAGCACTCAATGCATTATATGTATTGTGCACATATACATGATTTCAGGTAAATCGCGTTTTGGTGATGTTCTGTCTGCAAACTTGCTGTTGTCTGTGGGTCTTGCTAGATCGACCCAGCCAAAACATTTTGTTTGTCGAAGGTTCCGATCTCCAATTCAACACCTAGCTCCAAAACAAGCTCGACTACAATGACCTCCAGACCGACAGGTCTTTTCCTCCTCCTCCTCCTCCCCAATTCAAGAAGCCATCTTCTTTGACCTAACTATATGAGCCTCGGACCTCAAGCTTCTGCTTCTCTTCCAGCAAGGCCTGAAGCTCCTGGCCAAGCCACGGAAAGGGAGACACTGCAAAAGAGAAGCCATGGATGGAGAAAAGGAAAATTTCAACCCATTAGATACGCATTCTTCCAATTGGGCCTGTTGATCGTTAGCTTCGTGCAAAACGCACCCACCCCAACCCCACCCATGGCTTGACCGGGATGATGTCAGAAAGAATGACTCCGAATTCCGAGGTCAGGATGGCATTCGGATTATCCGTGGGTTGTTTCTTCATGTTTCTTCCCCGTTTCTGCTGTGTCTGAGGGCCGAATTTGTTTCACTTACCGAAAAAAATTGTACGCTTCCCGCACATAGTCCTTCCTTCTACACCCCCACGCCTGTGCTCTAGATCCGATTGCACCAGGGTTCGCCGCAACCAAATACATCTTCCAAGGCTCCAAATCCCCCGATCAACCAGCACTGCCCCGCAGACCCGCCTCCGCCATGGCGGGCCGCGGTGCCGCGGAGACCCGTCTCAGTCCACAGCGTCTGGTCAGCTCGATGCGTTGTTGGATTCCAATGGGATGTAATGGGCGCCACCTTTAAAGAAGAAGGACAGCAGGCAAAAGCATCAAGAAGTGGAATTTTAAATGGAAGACGGACCGACGCTAGGTATCTACCTTTCGTTACGTACTGCTTCTGACGCAAAATCAGACTCTCATGTATCAGCGGGCCATAGCAGCAACCGCCCATAGCAGACATGTGGGAGTCTCAAGTTGCACGTGCTGAACCAAACACCAAACATGATCATTTTAGTGGGCGGTCATCCAATATCGAGATCAAAAGTTTATTGGCTGTAGAATGCTTGAGCCCAAAAAAACTCAAACGCACAGAATTGGCAATCTGCTTTTTGCCAAAATTCCATGTTGCACCAACTGTTTGAGCCATGTCTTGACTGAAGCATTGTACTGAAATATGACATGCTCGGCAAGCAACGCTGTGCCGTGAATGCGTTTGAAGAAGTCACTGAACCGTACTACTTGGTGGCCTCGAGCACACTAGTGGAGTGAGGGCTGACATGGGCGAAAAATTGCGAAAAGGTGCGGCTTGCGCAGCATGTTTTCCCGGCAGAAGCATGCGTTTCGTCGATCAGAGGAGGTGGCGCTTTTGGGTCTTTGGATTTTCCTCAAGAACCTCAAAGGCGTAGGGTAGCGTAGCCAATCAGCAACTCAAAGGCGTAGCGTAGGAGATCGTCCAATTGTCCATGTAGATGGTCTCCAGGCACTTGAACTTGAGGCGGCTCAAGGCACTTCGGGTGTTTGGCGCCAAGTCGTTCCCACGCAGATCTAGCCATCTCAGCTGTGGTTGACCTTAATGTAGACTCGTGATTCTTGATGAATCAAACCCCCCCAGAAGTGGATGCACGAACTTGCGGACCGTCCAATCACGGGCGCGCCCACACCCTCCCTTCCCTGATATTCAGGGGGGTACGGATGTGAGACCAACAACAGGGGTGAAGTTGGGCCCTGTTCGGAATATGTACAAAGGAGACCTACGCTACGGATGCATCGAAAGAGCTGTGGACAAAGTAAAAATAGAATAAACAAAGACCGGACTTGAGAAAGAGCAAAGAGAACGGCAATCGTCGGAGACACATACCCAAACCAAATGATGCAGAACTCTCCTGAAATGACCTATGAGTACCAACGCCATGTGGCCATTGGGCCTCTTGTCAGAATTGGAGAGTAAATTACGAATTGCCTCGAGAAACCGGAAAACACCCGAGTACAGGTCATGACGTAGATGTATGTTGAGATACTCGGGTTTAGGCTTTCTTCGCTATAAAGCTGCCTGGGCTGCATGTCCAAGACAGGGGCATCTAATTCGGGGCCGGTGGTGGCCGTACAGAGAATGGCTCTAATTAGTGTTCGGATGTCGGAAATGATCGAAACCCTTCTTACGGAAATGTGCATTTCGAACGTTCTGCAAAAAATTTTCTCGGCGGTCTGCAGCAATCTCCGGCCAGTTGGGCCACGTGGGTCTATGCACGGATTCTGGCACGGGTGGCATGTAGACCTCTGTGTTATAAGGGGGATTATGTGGCATGACGCTGAGAAGATCATGGATAAAGTCGTACGTCTGGCTAACATTTGGCAGATTTGGTCGTCTTGAAATACCACCCTCGTGGTATGGAGTAAATCCCAAACGAATGAGGCTGGTGGTGCCTTGTTTCTTATATTGAGGAATGATGTTTGTTTTTGAGAAAGTCTGAATATGTTTAATAATCCATCGAAAATTTTCTGCTAGAATGCGGATGGATCGCTGTTTAACTGGGAGCAACTGCGTCTTTTCGTCATCATATGGTAAGATGATGTTACTACTGTTTTCTTTGATTCGGACTGGCAAGCGACATTGAGCCCACAGCATGAATGAAATAGCAAGTTCCGTCCACGAAATGCCTTGTTCCCCGGGGGCCGGTGCCTCATCCGGGTGGGGCCATAGTAGAAGGCCACAGTATGTCCATATCAGGCGTGCCAGGTTCGTCCCCCAGGGGCAGCTCCAGAAAACAACTCGGTGCGGTTCTGGCGGCATGACAAAACTGGAGCCGCGGACTATCCATCCTCTTAATTTTGTCATCTGTTTTTGGTATGCCGTCTGTGCCTGCTGTGAGGCAGGGCCAAGAGTTGTGTGTCTGGAGGAGGATCCAGCGAGATCTTTTTCTTGCTTGGCCATACGCATGAGCGCCAAGTCAACGAGATATTTGTACACGTTTTCGAATATCTTTAGTTGAGACAGTCGGTGCTGTTTGATGTCCGTGCAAATCTGTGAGAATTCTGTGTCATCTGTTTTTCTGACTTTACCGGCTACTTCGTCGGCCAATGAGTTACCATGAATATGCCATGCTTCGATATGCGACGAGGCCGAAATTAGGTCTTTGTGGGAATGAATTTTGAGGATGCGAAACCTAACCGTGTCCCATAATTCAAGCAGGCGTTGTACCAAATCCCAATGAGCTTGTTTGTGTGGATGGCGAAAAATTGTTTCGTTCTGGATTTCTTCGATGATGTTACATACGAATTGCGAGTCTGTGACAAAAAGGACTGTGTGAGTACCCTGACATGCCTGGACCTGCTCAACTGCAATTACCATAGCGAAGAGTTCAGAGCGGTTGATTGTCTGTGGGCCTGGGCAGTGGCCGCATGCTGAAACAGAATAGTTTCGAAACTCGGCATCTAACGGATGTGGGTGGCTGAAAACAACAGCCCATGCTGCTCTAGCGGTGTACGGATCACGAGTGTCGTCGCAGGATCCGTCTGTATAAATAAATGTGCCAGGGCCAGGAGGAATGATCTGCGGGTGTGTTGCGAACGAGGTGCAATTGCGAAGAAACATGGCTTGTCGCGCCATGGGTGTGCAGTGGTGATGTACAGGAAGAGGAAACCAGCACGTGCGGCGGTTTTGCTGCATAAACGAGATCGCTTCGGTGTGGTTCTGTCTGAGGTCGTGGAATTCCGGGCATTCTAAAATCTGATGGCAGTGCGTATCATATGTTTGACACCATGGGCACATCGGGTCTTGGGTGGCCGACCAGTTTGCAATTGCACCCAGGCTTTGCCATCCGGATGTTAAACTCAAGGAAAGAATGCGGCGTTGCCTATCTGTAAACTTTTTAAGCAAGCGAATGGTGGATGTTGAATCGAATGGACAATCGGAAACACCTTTTCTATGAAGAATTGCCTCGTAGCAATACCAGTCCCATGCTATACGTAGTTGTGCGCGAATCTGCTTATTGGAGGATGAGGGAATGGACACGCGAAGACCTCCTGGACCTAACAGCGTTGCATTTGATGTGAGTTCCCACTGCAAGTGCTTGAGATATGCTGCGAGGGCGCTAGCGGGACCTCGGATTTTTCCCTCGAAAGCACGCACGGAGCTGGTAAACTGGTTTGCCATCTTGGGGTAGTAAATATACATTCTGCGAAGAGTAGTCAGGATGTCAGTGATGATATAGAGCAACGGATCTGTGACTCGGTCTGACAAGTAGTGTAGTGCCACGACGCTGGATGCGTGTTTGTGATCGCCTACGAGGACGGAGGCCGCAGCTCGGCGTAGGGAAACAAAATGCTTATGTCCGATCTGTATTCCTAGTGCTCCGTAGAAGACTGCCGGCCAAATTGCTACCTGGATCTTTTCTGCCTTTTCATCAAGTGGCAAGTTAAACCGGCGAAGTCTATTGCATTTGGCCACAGCGTTATCTATCTTATCGCGGAGCGGGCCTAGGACCACTGCATTATTATAGGAAATGGTGCAACCCAAATCATGCACGTGGCTTTTGATCTGAAATACGAACTTGGGGTCCATGAGCAGGGCTGAGGCCTCTTTCCAGAAAGTTTGGAATTGTTTTGTTGTGGCCCAGCACCAAGACTTCTTAAAATCAATTTGCATCTTGAGGCTTGTTATGAGATTGAGGATGGTTGTCATAGCGGAGAAACAAGCCTGGTCTGATGTGGACATGAAACTCCAGTTATCCGCATATGCGTATGGGAAGAGTCGTGGTGAGCGGAGCTTCGAGTAGAAAACAAAACTGAGGGCAAGCATGCCTACAACTGACATCGAGTCACCCTCGGGAAGGCCTGTTGTCGAGAGGTGAGCCGGCCCCAGGGCTTTGCCGCATTGGAGTGCACGTGTGAGTCGAGTGAGTGATTTGAACCAAAAATCTGTCACGTGCGAAGGAATACCGAGGAGCTTGAAAACATGACTAACGACCTTCCGGGGTATCAGGTTAAATGCTTTAACGAGCTCCATTGTCCAGCCTCCCCAGGCAGTATGATGCGCCTTAGCGTGTTCGATCTGCAATTGTTGCATAAGTGAGAGATCTCTTGCTGATCGACGAGGCAGACCTCCGCTAATTTCGGGTGGCCACAAAGTGGCCCACTGGCTTAAAATCTGGTCAGAAATCATTTTCGAACATAGACGGGCCAAATACCCGAGAATGGTAATAGGCCTACCATCAGCGATGGATGTAGGGTTATCTCTTTTTGCGAATAGCAACGTCCGAGCTTGCATAAAACGTTGTGTAAGACCGAAGTGCCAGACGTTACGAATGAGTGTCGAAAGGTCTTGAACCATTGTCCATGTGAGTGATTGCAATTCTTCAGAATGCCACCCGTCTGCCCCGGCTGCCTTATAGGGCTTAAGACGCTTAATTGAATTCCAAAGGCAGATTGGGCTGTCGAACTGAATATCCAAAAAAGGTTGTAGTGGGATAGTGGCATCTAAATCTTCAAGAAAATCAGACCACGGATCTTCTTCCGTCTGTTCTGTCATCGTGTCCCTCAACCAGAATTGAGACCATCACTTATGGAAACATGATGACATGTCATCAATGGTATATGCATGAGTTGAAAACTGGATCATAGCTTTTGCTGGAATTGTGCCTTTTACTTGATCAATTGTGAGCATGGGTGGCTCACATGTGTGTACAACGGCGGAACAGCTTCCAAACATAATTTGGGCACCTGTTGGGATTATGATAGGTGTGGCCATACGGAGTCTGGGGAGGTTCTGTTTGGCTCTACACAAAGTGGCCTCCGTGGCATGAGTGACCGGTAGGTCATTTAGAAACCGTTGTTCCTTCCCTTTCAGGAATTTATAGATTGCTGCATTATTGGTATGGGATTGCGAAAAAGAGATACAGTGGCGTTTGTGGCGTTTACGAATCTGTGCTTCTTGGCGAGCACATGCATCGGCGTCGAGCCTGGTTATCTGGATAGCATCCCCTAGCCAGTCCGTCGTGGGTGGTTCCAAGGGGACAAAACGAATGCATTCAAAGGCTAGAATCCATGTTTCCCACGCGCGGCCGTAACCCTGGGCACGTCTAATGGCTTCCCATTCTTGTCGGATTTGTGCATAGAAAGTTGATGGGTTATGAGACCTCTGTGAGTGTCGTATCTGGCGAAGAAGGGAAACCAGTCTTCTAGTCTGCCTTGCCTTATGTTTAGCCTTGGTTGATGTAGCCTCAACTGGAGGGTCGTATGCCTGTGTGGGGTCGTTCTTGATAGTGCGTGGTGATATGTGTGTAACCAACTTTGTTGGTGCACCCCTCCCAAAAAACTTTTGTGGGAGACATGGCTTTGGCGTATGCAGTGGATCTTGCTCATGCTGTATCTGAACGCATTTCTGCACTGCGTTTTCGACGCCCTTGGACCAGCGGTGGAATGCGCGATTGATCTTTTCCTCTGTATTGAGGTCTGTGCGTGATGTAAACCTCGCCTGGTTGTTGGTATAACACTGTTCGAGTGTTCCGGGATCCAAAGGAATTTCACCCCAGGTTTGAGGGATGAACCAAGATCGACAAACCACTTGTTTA